GTGTGGCATTATTAATTTAATAGCGCTGAGTGTGCCAGCATAATATGATGCGAGTATCTATGCACTGAGTTTAATTAAATTAACTTGAGCAAATAGTTGATCCCTTGGTTGGTTGATCTAGTTGTCGAAAGCACTGTAAATAACCAAGAAGATGATTCTCACTTACTACCAGAGTACTACCGCTATTGCTGGGCATTCTCTCGTGAGTTAAAAAGCTTCCAGTAGCTAGAGCTGCTCTCTAAACATCTCTAGGTAGTAAAGAAAGACTTATACTGACAGAAGATTAAGGCCTCACAGATTAACTGATAAATTATTAGCCTCAGTTGAAATTATTAGTACCCGCCCTCGAATAATAGCCTCATATTATCTTTCCTGAAATTAATAGTAGCCGCGGGGTCTATTTGAGGAAATACAGTATATGCTCTAAAATTTGGGTGTGTGACTATGCCCACGGTGCTGTGCATGCTTAGATCTCAGAACAAGCAATTTTTTATGTAGTTATGCTTGAATGAACTGCAATACTTAGTGGAGGTTCCAGGCTTCCAGTTCCAGCTAAGAGAAGGTAATTAATCCTGGATATCATTATTTTATTATATGTAATCAATAAATTGTATTTAAAAAACACAAACAATAATTACCGTACTTGCCCCAATTAATGCACCCTCCTAATTATTGCACCTCTACACAGCTTCCACAATAAAAACTTTTGTGATGCTTACTACCCTCACTGCTATCAGCTGCTAACGTGTAGTATTGGCACAACAGTTGACAGTATTATAATTATACTTTTAAGTTAAAAAAGAAGGAAGAAGAGAGGGAGAATATCCAGGAGAATACACATGAGAGAGCTAGAGAGAACTGACTGAACAATAGAATAGAGAACAAATAGACAAAAGAACTCTCTAGCATTCTAAAAATAGTAAATAGTAAGTCTAAAATAGTAATAAGAAAGCCCCATTGTTTACAGGTGTATTGAGTACTTTGCTATGCACCTCTCTAAGCAAGCACCTCCTGGAGCATTTCATTCTAAACAATGTACCACCTAAGACGTGTTAATTTGGGCGAATATAGGGTAATTCATGTTATACTATGATCATGAACTTGCAACAGGAACAACAGTCAACAGGGCAAAATTGCAGTACTTTCACTGCTTCTTGAACAAGGACTTGCATCAAGATTATTATAGCATTTTTAGTGCAGTTTCACTAAACACTGATCAGTATAGAATTCCTTCAATACAGCTATTCACCGCAATTAATGGCAATGAACACAATCTAAAGAAATATTATAAATATTATACAAAAATCAACATAAACAAAAACACAAAAACAAAAAAAAAACAAGATTATGTAGGATTCCGAACGGCCAACTAAAATCGAAATGAAAATCTTACTCTCCTGATGCAAATTCGACTCTGCATTGCAAGGTGATTTGTAATTTCTTACATAATAACATTGAAAGGACAATGTAGAGTAAAATTTGTGTGACAAGAGTAGGATTTTCATTTTGATTTTCATTGGTCGTTTGGAATCCTACTTAATTTTGTTTTTTAATTTTATGGTCTTTGTGAATGTGACTTGACTATTATTCAAACAAATAAATTGACCAACGTAGTTGTTTTGGATGTGGCTAAAAATTAATTTTGCCAGCAGTGCCCCTAAATGCCAGCCCTATAGTCACCTACATCAAACTATCCCATAACTGATACCAAACATCACTTTGTAAACTGTATATTCTATTTATTTTCTACAGATCCCTCTACCTGATTCTGTTACTGGTAGATACCGCCATACTATATCATCATTTGTTCTTGATCCTAATCATGTGTTCCTGATAATAGTGGGAGGTTGTGTAGAGATGGAACAGGTAGATGTAGGAGGAGGAGTAATGGAATGGTTTGATAAACCTGTCACTGATCCCAATATCACAATGGTAGTAGAACTAGGTAAGATTGTTATATATTTATAGTAGAAAATTTTGTGTACATACATGTGCTTATGCACCCAAACTAGGCAAATAAGATGCAAAAATTAGCTAATTGCTGGATCACTAATAAGAAATTATAAGTAGAACGGTATACTGACATTTTGCTGAAATTTAAAAGTAAAATTTAGTCATTCAATTTTTTTGTCCTATTATCTCATCTCCTTCACTCACAATCACTAAATTATCCTTCCTTTTCCTTCTCCTTCTCTCTCTCCCTCAGTTTTAAATGATGGTCAATGGTCAGTGGGTCCAGTATTAGATTCATATGATATTCCTTTATTCTATCAACAAATACTAAATTCAAGAAGAAAGGAATTGATTGAAAAATATGTATACATGACAGAAAAAGTGAAGGAGCTTCAAGTTATCAATGAGTATTTTTATTATGATCTACAAGTGGCTAGAATTAACAACCAATCACTTCAGGAAAAACTACTGAAAACTCAATCACTATCAGGTGAATACAAGTACATGTGCTATAGTACTGTAGAGGGCATGCTTTATTTTTGGTTTTCATAGTTTTTGTGAATTTTAAACCCATTAAAGTGCCATATCCTCTTACACGGCTATGTAA